GCAGAAGGAGGGGGTGGCAGGGTGGGCATATGCCGCTGGCTGTGGTTAAGTTAAACAGAGGAGCAAGAATTGAGCTGCTGGCTGGGAGCCTTCCTCATACAGAGGGAGATTCAGGAGTCTTTTTTCCATTGCTTTTCCTGTGTACTCACTTGGATGAGCAAGCCAGATCTCCAAGCCACTGCCTGCCTAGGGCTCCTGAGGCCCCCTGCCAAGAATTCCCATTAATCAAAGTCTGGGAACAAATGCAAACTAGTCAGCTCCCAGAAGCTCTCACAGGCTCTGCAGGCTGACTTGTGCTCTCTGGTTTTTTTTTCATCCTGATTGCTCTAACTGTCCATAAATATAACTTAAAAAAAATCTCTTTATCACTTAAAGTTTTAAAAGCTTCTCAGGGAAATGAAACATTCAATAGCTTCGGAAGTTTATTCAATGGGCTAGTTAGGAAAACTCCTGAATCTGGAAAAGTATGAGAGAAAAATAATCAAGTTGAAATCATGTGTATATACCTTGCCTTTGAGTTTCTCCTGGAGCTTTGCCAGGACTTGCCTAAAGAAAAATCTGGAGTTATTAATGGGCAGGGAAAAGAAATGTGTTCTTGCAGCTCCAGGTGGGAAGAGACAAGGATTGGGAACTAATCAGGACATTCAGTAGGGAGCTTTCATACCTGCCAATTAACACTGCAGTTGTGGATACAACTGTAGAGTAGCGGAAAATCAAGCACTTACACTCTTTTAGTATGGGCAAGGGATCTTGGGATTTCTCTTGCCTGCTAAGAGAGGGAAAGAAATAAACTTTAAGAGTAAGTAGAAGACCCTTCCTTCCTTCCTTCCTTCCTTCCTTCCTTCCTTCCTTCCTTCCTTCCTCCCTCCCTCCTCTCTTCCTTCCTTCTTCTTGTCAGTCGTGGGCCTTGAATTGGGCCTTGAATGCAAGGCCTGGACACTGTCCCTGCTTTTTCCTTTAAGGGTAGCAATGCTCTATCACTTTGAGCCACAGTGTCACTTTCAGTTTTCTGGTGATTAACTGGAGATAAGAGTCTCATGGACTTTCCTGCCCCAGCTGGCTTTAACCTGTTATCCTGATTTCAGTCTCCTGAGTAGCTAGAAGTACAGGCATGAGCCACTGGTGTCTGGCCTCATGCGTCTTTTCCCCTGGAACCAGACCTGTTTCAGAGGGACAAACAAATTCAGGTTCACCATAGACTTGTGCCTAACCTCAGATAAGACCAAAGCTATTTTTAGGGTTCTTTTCCTCCCATTTTCTTTCTCTTTTCTTTTCTTTTCTTTGCCAGTCCTGGGGCTTGAATTCAAGGCCTGGGCACTGTCCCAGAGCTTCTTTTGCTCAAGGCTAGTGCTCTAGCACTTGAGCTACAACATTACTTCTGTATATGTGGTACTGAGGAATCAAACCCAGGGATTCATGCATGCTAGGCAAGCACTCTACCACTAAGCTACATTCCCAGCCCATTCTCCCATTTTCTTTATTGTTATCATAAAGGTGATGTACAGAGGGGTTACAGTTACATACTTCAGGTAGAGCATATACTTCTTTTTTTTTTGGGTCCGGTCGTGGGGCCTGAACTCTGGGCCTGAACTCTTCAGCTCAAGGCTAGCGCTCTACCACTTGAGCCACAGCACCATTTACGGCTTTTTTCTTTTTTGCTTATGTGGTGCTGAGGAATCGAACCCAGGGACTCATGCATGCAAGGCAAGCGCTCTACCACTGAGCCAACTTCCCAGCCCAAGCATATACTTCTTTTAGGACAATATCACCCCTTCCCTCCCTCTCTGTCAATTTTTCCCTCTCATTCCCACCCTCAAGTTATATAGTTCATTTTCAACACAGTATCTAGTGAATACCACTGCTTCATTTGTTCACTCTTTGTTCTTCTATTTCTCTGCTCCCCATACCTTCCCAAAGACAGATAAACAAGACAAAAGCAGGGCTGGGAAGGTGGCTCAGTGGTAGAGTGCTTGCCTTGCATGCCTGAGGCCCTGGGTTCAATTCCTCAGCACCACATAAGCAAAAAAGAAAAAGCCGGAAGTGGTGCTGTGGCTCAAGTGGTAGAGCGCCAGTCTTGAACTGAAGAGCTGAGGGACAGGGCCCAGGCCCAGAGTTCAGGCCCCACGACCGGACCCTCCCCCCCCCCCAAAAAAAGACAAAAGCAAAGAAAACAAAAACATCAAGCAAGAAAAAACCCCTCTTGTTTCAATTTCCTGAAGTTCATTTTGATAAATATTATTTTATGTTTATATTTTTACTTTTAAAAGATTTTTTTAAATCAAGTTTATCAAAGGGCTACAGACATAGCTTAGTGGTAGTGTCTAGTATGCACCACGCCCCCTATATGATTCCCAGCAATGCACATGCACACACACACACAGAGTTAAAAAATTAAATTCATCGGGCTGGGAAGGTAGCTCAGCTTGCCTTGCATGCATGAGGCCCTGGGTTCCATTCTTTAGCACCACATCAGTAAAAAGAAAAAAGCTGGAAGTGGCGCTGTGGCTCAAGTGGTAGAGTGTTAGCCTTGAGCTGAAGAGCTGAGGGACAGCGCCCAGGCCCAGAGTTCAAGCCCCACGACCGGACCCCAAAAAAATAAAATTAAATTCATCCTCTTTTCTTTTCAGTCCAGTACCCATTATTCTGAATATGAACTCTAAATTTATGTTTTAAGTAATATCTTGCTAGTTCATAAAGTCCTTGTAACAAGATCAGCTCAAGAGCTTGTTTAAGACTTGTCCCCAGTCTCAGATAAGACCAAAGCACCAGGGCTGGGAAGGTGGCTCAGTGGTAGAGTGCTTTCCTTGCACCCATGAGGCCCTGTGTTCGATCCTTCAGCACCACATAAGCAGAAAAAGTCAGAAATGGCACTGTAGCTCAAGTGAAGAGCTGAAGAGCTGAGGGACAGCACCTAGGCCCAGAGTCCAGGCCCCACAACCGACACAAAAAAAAAAAGAAAAGAGAAAAAGAAAAAAAAAAAGACTAAAGTACTGTTTGTTTTTTGTCAGTCATGGGGCTTGAACTCTGGGCCTGCGTGCTGACCCTCAGCTCTTCAGCTCAAGGCTAGCACTCTACCGCTTGAGCTACAGTGCCACTTCCGGTTTTCTAGTGGTTTATTGGATATAAGAGTCTCACAGACTTTCCTGCCCAGGCTGGCTTTGAACCGTGATCCTCAGATCTCAGCCTCCTGAGTTGCTAGTATTACAGGTGTGAGCCACCGGCTCCCGGCTCTATTTTTAAGTTTTTTATCTGTCTCTTGCTCTACTTGTCTGGGCTTGGAGAACAGATAGCTGTCCATGCTTCTTCAAAGTGGTGATTGAGGTCATGTTCATTCACCTGTACATTCAATACTTTACTGAATATTTCTGGAATCTAAGACATGCCATATCAAACTATGTCAAATTGGTGCATGGATTATTTCAAGGTAAAACCACACAAGGAAGCATAACCTTAGAAGGGGCCCTTACCAACTCACTATATACAGTGAGTCCCAAAAACTTTCTTGAGAAGAGCATCATTCACATAATTAGGCTTATTTAAAATATCTTTGATCACTAAATGGGCCTGCGATGGATCTGAATAAACAAACTCTTGGAAGGAATCCTGTTTCCACTAGGAAACTTACCTCCTATTCCCCTTAGCCCTCTTACAGCCCTAGAATTCATTGCCCTTTTTATGTTTGGGGAGGTCTTCTAGGTACTGAAGGTGCTGGGAAGGAAAATAAAAGAAAAAAGAAAAAAAACAAGGTAGGGGAGGCAGGAATGGGACAAAAGTCCAAGAGAAGTCAAAAGATGCCCTAATGGTAGAGGACAAGCATGCCAATGCTCCTCCAAAAGTGTCCTCTTGGCCACTGTACCCATACTCCACCTTCGCCTCCCCTGCCACACCCACCAACTTCTCTCTGGCAGGTCGTCAACCTAATACGCTCTCCATGTCTTTCGTGATAACGACATTCAAGATGCACTAGGATTGCCTGGCTAAAACCTGTGCCTTAGTTCCTGAAAGGATCCATGAAAGAATCCACCACATCCATCCCAGGGGACCACTCAGAGGCAGGCAGGCACAGGAGAAAGATGATTAGAAGGTTTATTAGAGGAGCCATGTTTCCCCCGGAGAGAGAGAGAAAGAGCACATGGTAGCCTCCACTATCTAGGTAGCAGCAGGGTCTGGGGGGATAGGAAATGAGGTAGAAGATGGGAGTTCATGTGGGTCTAGGTGGAGAGAGGGAGGGGCCAGCAGGTCTGAGTGGAGCTGAGGACCAAAGGTTACAGGTGGGAAATGCTTACAGGTGGGAAATCCTTCTTCCATTTGAGCTGCTTCAGAGTCCTGTGTCAGGCATTTGCCTTCCTGCCCTTGCTGACCCTCAGGCTGAACACAGATTAAGAGACCTCAGCCAGCACCAGACAACACATTAGGGACCAGAATCTAGGGACTGATGAAGTGTGAAGCAAGTGGCAATGGAACCAAGTCTTCAGATAACCCCAAGAGGCAAGGCCAACCGGGCAAACTGGAACTCTTACCTTGGATCTCTTGCTTCACGATATTTTCATTAAAAAAAAAAGCAGAATGAGATCATAGTGTTTTTTAAGTGTGATCGCTTCATCTTTTCCTGTCTCCTAGGGTGGTTTGGAATAAAAGCTTATTTCCCCTCTCCAGGTACCTCAATGCGTCTGGATCATTCATCATGGTTGCTGCCACTGAGCGACCCCTGCGCGCAAGACCTCACCAACTTCTGCCTGCCTTCCCCCTACCCCCGCCACGGTCCAGTGTCGGAGCGTGGTGGCCCCCGCCGGGAGCGATCCCGGACCCACAGCCCCAGGGCCTTGGGGCTCCGGCCCTCCCCGGCCCGCCGCAGCGGGGCGCTGCGGCCCGTGGTTAGGCGCCGGGCGGGAGTGCGGGGCGGGAGTGCGGGGCGGGTCCCAGGGCTGTGCGCGCTGCGGGGCGCGCCGGGCTCCGCCACAGGTAACCACCCGGAGCGCGCGGCGGGGCAGTGCGGCGGCTGGAGGCGGCTGGAGGCCCCGGGGGCCTCTGAGCCAGCGGGAGTGGTCCTCTCGTCTCCCCTCGCCCCCCACCCCGTGGCTGGCAATCAGTCTCTGTGGCGCGGACGAGAAAGGTACTGTGCAGCCTCTCAGGGTCCCTTCGATCTCCAGAATCTGAGGACGGGCGCCTCCCCCCCCCCCATACCTGTGATCCTGGGGAGGGGGAGACGTCCGGGCAGAACGTCCGAGCGCACCCCGATCGCTGACCGCTAGGAGGGGGAGACCCCGGTGGAACGCGATGTCCGGGTCCTGCGGCCTCCCGGAAAGCCCGGGCGGAGGGTGTCTCCCCCGGGAGCTTCCTTTTTGGCTTTGCCTCGGCTGCCTTTCTAGAACGTGGAACTTTGAGCAGGGGGTGGGGTGGGCGTTTAGAGAACTTTCTCTCTTTTTGTTGGTCCCCCTCCCCTTTCTCCGGGAGCTCGTGGAGTTAAGACAATCTCTCCCCGCCCGCCGTGGCTGGCGGCGATCTGCGGGCGGAAAGGAGGTCCCCTCCGGTCGCGCGTCGCTCCCCGGGTCTGCGGGCCGGGCGGGGGTAACTGGGAGGGGGGGGGACCCGGCCCCCCGCCCCCAAACCTTGGAGGACAGCAAAATGGGATGCTGGCGCGCTGGAGCCCTGCTCGGTGGGGGCGAAGCGTTGGCGAGTGGCATCTCCTGGGGCCGAGGACGGGAGCCTGTTGTCTGGTTTGGGCTCAGACGGGAGCTTACTGACACTTGTCTTGGGGATTTGAGTGTGGCGCTTCCGGTAGATTTGTGGGGCTGGAGGGGAAAGGAAGAATTATTTGTGATCCAAGAGGGATTTGAATTTCGTAAAGCTAGTCAAGAATCTTTTCCTTTTGGTGTAGTGAGAGTGCTCACGTGGGAGGTGGGGTGGGGGTAGAGTGGAGGGGTTGTGGTGTTTGTTATCCTGAGTATCTTGGAGTATCCTCTATCAAGGCCCCAACCTCCTAGGAACCAGGATTGCAGAGTTTATGTTGACTTCCCCTTGCTTTTCAAGATACATGCTATCTTATATATAGAACTTGGTGGAAGGGAAATTTCCAAGCAAGCATTTCCACAATCACCTGGAGCATTCTGAAGTTAAAAGCAGGATTTTAAGAGTATCCACAACAACAACAACAAAAAGCTTGACATCTGGAAAGTTGCTGGGATCATCAGCCTCCTCTCTCCAAGGCCCCTCTTTCAAACTTCCCCTTGGCACAGAGTCTGGGGAGGGTTCCGTCTCTGCTGGAGAGGCCCAGTCTCTCCCAGCATAGCCGGAGGCTGTAATTTTAAAAGCTTTATTTGAGCCCTTAAGTATTAGAAAAACAAAGCTGGTTGCTGGTGGTTCTTGCCTGTAATTTTAGCTACTAAGGAGGCTGAGATCTGAGGATCAGGATTCCATGGCTGGAAAGCCCCTGACATTCTTATCTCCAATTAACCACCAAAAAGCCAGAAGTGGAGCTGTAACTCAAGTGGTAGAGCACCAGTCTTGAATAAAAAAGCTTAGGGACAGCACTCAGGCCCTGATTCAAGCCCTAGAACAGCCCCCTACCCCCCACCCCCCCAAAAAAAGAGTTGGAAAACAATAATTGGTGCACATGTACTTTAGAAATTCGTTGTTGTTTTAGGACAAATCATCCAAAGGGCATTGTATGGGACTTAAAGGATTAAACTGACTGAGACTGACCTTTACAAAGGGGTTTTAACCCAAATTCTTCTTCTCCTGGTTATGTTTGTGTGAGGGTCTTTCGTTTCAAGTCATTTCTTCAGGATCATATAACTCTCTTCTGTGAGTCTTGCAAAAGTCTATGACTTCAAGAACCCTCAGTGTCCAAGTAATTTTTCCCCCAGTATCTACAGGTTAAAGTAGTCAAAAATAGGTAGGTACAACTAGTATTTACATGACATTTGAAAAAATAATGCACATAATAACAGAAAGATATTTCAGGTCATTTCCAAATCTGTACAGTCACTAACAGGATGTGTGTGTGTGTGTGTGTGTGTGTGTGTGTGTGTGTGTGGTCTGTACTGCTCCTCAGCTCTGAGCAGTCTGGACACCGCCACTCTCATTTCCTGTTCCAATGAGTTTTTCCACAGGACTTACTCTTTGTCACCAGCAAGGGCTGAAGTCCCAGCTTTGTAACATTGTGTTGTTATCCATAGGACAGGAGGGGACATTCCCTTCAGTGGGTTCAGCCCTTGAACCTGGCCAGTACAGTTTCCACCAAAATTATCAAGCATCAGGGCACTGGTAATTGATACCTGTAATCGTAGCTACTTGGGAGGCTGAGATCAGAGGACTGCAATTTGAAGCCAGCTTGGGCTGGCTGATTCTTATCTCCAATTAACCACAAAAAAAGCCCAAAGTGGTGATGTGGCTCAAGTGGTAGAGCACTAGGTATGAACAAAAGAAGCTCAGGGACACTGCCCAGGCCCTGGCACACACACACACACACACACACACACACATTATCAGACATCCTAATTTGACTCTGCAAATTTGTTACAGTTGAAAAATACATACCCAGTGAAGGAATCCAAAATGGTACTGTGTATAGATGACCTGGTGCTAGGTGAAATATGCTAATTGATTGCACACACAAAACCTCACAGTTTTGCTTCTATGTAGCACTGTACTTAAATTGGGTAAATATAAAGACAGTAGATGGTATTTACTAGGGATATGGACACAATTGGGGAGTTCTGGCACTATAAAATATAAAATTCAATATAGAATTCAATATAAAATTTAAAAGAGTGAACACAAATCTGTGAGTGATGCCTCTTTCCAGGTTTGTACCAAGGTCCTGAGGTTAGGGATAGGAGAGCATGGCCACAGGATCTGGAAGTGACATCACTTCTACCCATCTTCTCCTCATCCTAAGTCAAGGGGAAAGAGATGCTGGAAATAGTGCTGTTCTCTCTTGGAGGGAAGTGTCTATGTCATTCCCTAGTGTGTTCGTGTACAAAGCCGAGGGTTAGCTATGAAATCTCCCACTAGCAAAGGAGATCTGAACTAGGGTTCATCTGTGGGCTACATAGGCTCTAAGAAGCCTGGCGCTGGTGGCTCATGCCTGTAATCCTAGCTACTCAGGAGGCTGAGATCTGAGGATCGCGGTTCAAAGCCAGCCTGGGCAGGAGAGACCGTGAGACTCCTATCTCCAATAAACCACCAGAAAACCAGAAGTGGCGCTGTGGCTCAAGTGGTAGAGCGCTCGCCTTGAGCTGAAGAGCTGAGGGACAGCTCCCAGGCCCAGAGTTCAAGCCCCATGACTGACCAAAAAAAAAAAAAAAAAAAAGCAGTTGTTTGTAGAACACTGCTCCCCCTGTAATATGTTCCTTTGCTTGTGTGTTTTGACTCCTTTCTGTTCATTCTTGACCCCTTTTCTACTCAAGCTGGAATAAGGCTAGTGCTCTACCACTTGAGCCATAGCACCACTTCCTCATGTTTGAATAAGATGATGACTTTTCCTCCCAAGCTTCTGGTTATGAAAACTCTGGGCTCCCTTTTCAAGGGCCAGAAGCCCACAGGAGTTGTTTTAGACTCCTACATTATGCCATTGTGGTACCCATGGGCCTATGCAGGGCCGTGGCTCACAACTGCCCTATTTCTGCCTATGCCTTCTTCTGGCCCCAGAAAAATAGAAACAAAATAATAATTTACATGAGGTACACAGGTATGGAAAATTACATGAACATAGTAACAAAAATGGTAACTTTTCTCATCCATACAATTCTTCCATATTTGCATTCCTCCTAGAAACCCTTTAGGAAATCCTAATTTAACTCTTTCATGAACACACATTCATTTTGTTGAGGAAAGCTACTTGCTCTAGCAAACATTCACAAATCTCAGTGGCTTAGTCCAGATGATTTGAAACCAAATCATCTGTCCCAAGTTGGGCAGGCTCTCCTGGGTAGTTCTTCATGTCACTGATGTGATCACATGACCAAGATTCCTTCCCCTTTGAGATGCCACCATCTTCCATGTGTAGCCTCCAATGTCATTATAAGGGGGCAGGAAGTATGGCAGTGACATCCCATGTTGACAGACTCTACCAAAATATGAAACACATCATTTCCACTGTTCCATTGGCACCAGCCCAATTTTAAGGCAATCAGTCAATATAGTACCTAGCAGGCAGCTGTTTTGAGTAAAATCTACATTGGAAGCAGAACAGAACTCCTTAGTGGATAAATAGCCATATTTTATCCAAATAGGCTAGTATTACCAACAATTGAGAGGCTGAAGTAGAAGGATTGGGAGTTAGAGACCGGCCTGGACTACATAGTTCCAAGGCTATCCTGAGAGACACCCTATCTCAAAACCCAGAACCAGCTAGGTGTTGGTGGCTCATGCCTGTAGCTACTCAGGAGACTGAAATAGTGAGGATCACAGTTTGAAGCCAGCCCAAAACTACCCAAAAAAGCCAGAAGTAGAGCTGTGGTTCAAGTGGTGTAGTGCTAGGCTTGAGCACAAAAGCTCAGGGACAGTGCCCAGGCTTGTCATCAAAACAAAACAAGAAGGGGAAACAAAGGAGGAGGCTACAATGCTTGATAAGAAATGTACTCATTATCTTGCCCATGTAATTGTAACCCCTCTGTACAGTATTTTCACAATAAAAAAAAACAAAACAAAACAAAATAAAATCTACAAAACCATGTCAAAAAACCAAAGCAAAATAGAGCAAAAAAAACCCAACAACAACAAAACAAAACAACAACAACAACAACAAAAAACAAATAAGCTAACAACACACACAGATTTGAATCTCATGAACTTTCCTGTCAGGGCTGCCTTTGAACTGTGAACCATAATACTTTGATTTTTGCCTCTTGAGTAGCTAGGATTACAGGCATGAGCCATCGGTGCCCAGCCAAAGCTAGTTTTCTTACTGGTCAATTAAGTGTAACTGCCTTCATAGAATTTATTTCTCACTTACCAAATACACATACACACAATCACACTATGTTTCTTCATGGGTAAGGAGTGTGAATGAGACCATTATGCAGGAAATAATTGTTTTTTAATCCTAAATGTGCAAGAAAAACCTGAGATTAATCCATATAGTTTCCAACATTTGTTAGGAAACAAAGC